GGTAAGAGATCTCTCCTGTTCCAGAACACATGAAAGACTAAATTTCACTATTGCTGTCCTTCCTACTTAACACTGACAGTCCCACTTCACATCTCTATTCACCAGCTTACAATGCTCTGGCAAATGGATGCTCTTGTTTGCTAACTGTGATTCCAAATGATGAATTAAATGTTTGTCAGGTAATCAGTCATTTTTACTATGCATACTTCAATGTTCATGGACCGTTCCAGGCTATTATACATTTCAAAGTATCAAAAAACCATAATTACCTCCTCAGGAGCTGGTGAAATGCATGAGATTCTTCTTTACTACCTAATTCATTCAAGTGGAGTTAACTCATTTCTATTACATTTACTACATTGTTCGTCCCAAAAGCAAGAATACAGTTTTACTTTTCTAATGCACGCCTGCAGATGCAAATTATCACTGCTGTGGAATTGTCTACAGGCCTGTCTAGATCAGTGATTTGTAACAGTCTAGACTCAATTACATCAATGTAAAGTGTGCCCACAGAATTTAAGTCCCAGTGTTTATATAAAGAGTTGAATCAGGCATCATTAAACTGAAGGGCAAACTACATCATAATTGTATCTGCTTGCATGCTTGTCTCTGCAGTTCCAAGTCTGCAAAACAACTTCTCAAGCCACTTACCTTAACCAGCCATTCAGCCAACCTGCGCGGTCTGTGCCACAACGGCATCTTAGATTAAATGCTAGAGATTGAGGCTCACTGAGTTCACAAATTATGCAGTGAATGCCTTGCATTCTCCATTTGAGAATTCTGGGCAACTCTTGCCCTGCACCCATCCTTAGTCTTTGATCCTCTCACTCTCTCAAAAGAAGTGGAAGTGCAGGATATCCTTGTATACATTTCCAGTACACATTTCTGTAAATATTGCTATGATGATAGTCACAAGCTGAATGTTGTGAAATGCTGAATAACATTCTTTGAAGAATTTCAAAGAGGCTTAAACTGTATTAAAGACAAAAGCACATCTCAGCAGTCAAGCTACCTGTCCACGTCAAGAAAGGTGGAGAAGAACTAAGCAGCAGAGCTGCGCTGGAGACAGTTCAGTCCAATTCAATCAAGCCAGCTATTGAAATTGCAGCCAGTTTTCAAACTACTTGTCATAACCTGCTTCCAGCATGCCTTGCTCTCTGCTCTCCTGGGAACTGCTTTGCCTATCCTCAGTTCAACAAGCTGTCCCTCCTCCTCTACCTGTGCAGGCAGAGAGCTAGAATTTCCTGCCTACATTCACATGTATGGAAGATAAGCAAGTTCTGGTGGCATCTTACTACTCATCCCATCTTTCCCCTAAATATCATTGACTGGCACGCTATGCTTGGTATGAGATGCCAGCACAGGCCCACATTTTATACCAGAGAGTCTGCGGATTTGAAGTTACAGAGACTGGTGATACGCAAAAGTTTCACATGTGTTCTCCAAAGAACCAAGAGTATTTCACTGCAAAAGAGCCTGACAAAACCCCTGAGAAAGACCCTACACTGGCACCTGCTACTGCCAGCTTTCTATGCTTGAGAGCAGCGCAACAGCACTACAAAGAAGAATGCCAGACACTGTTACATTTACTTTTCTTTAGGAGCCATGCTTAAAAGAACACTTGGCATTTATCTTTTCCTTGGTGCTTGATGTTGCCATCTCAGGCAATGTGAGTCCAGCTCACACAGTCTCTCCATTCCTCCCCTCTCCCCAGAGCCCTTTGCCATCCTCCCGATGAGCTCCTTTTGTTCCCTGCATGTATAAAGCTGCAACCCCATCACAGGCCCTCGTGTAACAGCACTTGTCTCCTCTCCAAGCATGAAGTCCTAGCCCTTTCTTACATCCTTTTCATCATTCTCAGTTACCAAAGCTAGATGCAAAAAAGGAACTGAAGAGTGTTTACTGAACACCAGTTCCTATGAATCTGTAACAAAATATGTACTGTGTTGTGGAAGTAGAGAAAAAGTAATACAGAAAATCAGAGCAGGCTCTTCTTAAGTTTGAAATTGCATGACAGCATTGTTGTACCAAGATGTTTGTAAGAATTTTTAAATATCATCATTAATCCTTTTTCTATCAAACTCCTCTTAGGCTTTTTGTCTATCAACTCTTAATGCATTTTTGATAGTATAATCTCTACATGCTTTTAAAATACCATATGTCACAGAATTGTAATATATAAAGCACGAACAGACAGCACATTAAAAAGCAGAAATTACAGGACACAATCACACCCTAAATGCCATAAATTCAATGCAAAACCATATTAATAGTGTAACCAATTTTGAGCATATCTTCTGGGTATATAAATTAATTTTCAGTGACAGAAAATGCTCTGATAAGGCTTGCAGGATTGGGAATTTTCATCCATGAGCATATAAGGACTTGAAAAGAAAGCTGAAAAAAGACTTAGTATCTCCATGGTATCCAGGGGCTGGTTCTGAATATAACTCCCAAAATTGTAGAAGGAAAAAACCCTAACTTTGCTGCCATGGAAACAGAACAGTGGAATATAACTGATTGTTACTTGTCTGCCTTTACAAGACTGATGCCTAAAACATTGAGGCCCTCGATAACCTGGGTAATTTCATTTCCACCTGAGAAGTAAACTGGCTAGAATATGAACAAGGTGAAGCTATTGAGCGAGCTCGCTAAGCAGGGGAGAGAAGCTCAGGAATGACGGGTATTTCTGGGAAAAGTGCAGGATTAGAAAGGAGAAAGAGAATAAGAGAAAGCTCAGGAAGGAAGACAATATGACGCCAGAAGAAATAGGGGAGGAGGGGTTTGGTTTGACTAACAAGACAGCAAACAAGGCCTTGACAATGAAGGGCTGGATCCTGGCCATGCTAAAGTGAACCTTGTAAGTAAACAGGGAAGCAAATACTGGATGGGTGTTACCTTGTCCTCGCTCCCAGAGCCCATGTGTAGTCTCAGCAAAAGCACAGCTTGTGAAAATTATGCCCATCTTCTCATAATTTCTTAAGTTACTTTTCCTTTGTTCTTCACTGGCAAATCTGACCCTCTTTGGATGCATCCAAAATGTTCTAACACTTAGCAATGCTTGTGCTTTCCTCACTGTTTGCTGGGTTATGCAACAAGAGCCATGCTCTTTTGCTCACTGGAAGCATTCCTTCTTCAAATGTCCTGATTGTAAAATGCATGGCGTTCTCCTTATTAAACATTTGTTATCCCTGCCTGCCATGCCTGGTGCACAGATAAAGTAATCACTGGGACACAGGTTCAGTTTCTCTTTTAAAATCCATCAGTATACCTGAGATGATCTCACAGCCCAACACCAGCACCTTTACACCCTTTGTTGGTAGCGAGTTAGCAAAGCAAGCTGGCCAGCAAGACCCTCATCGCTGTCATTTCAGAAGAGATCTCTCGTATCCGGCTGCTCTTTTGCGGACTCGCCTCAGTCCTTGCCCCCCCCGCACTCCTGACACCACCCTTCAGCCTCCTGAAAGCACACAGTCCTGCCATCAAACCACTCTTCAGACGGCAGCTGAGCAGAGTTTCTTTTTCCCTTGCAACCTAAATGGTCTACTGAGAGACGTCATTAGCTGTGGTGCAGGGGATCTCTGAGGACAGGAGTGCTGACCACTCCAGGCTAAGCTGCCACCGAAGCTGAAAGGCCTCCAAAAGCGCGCGAAGCTTGGCAGCCACCCCCTCAGCGCCTCACGCGCGGGCCACGCAGCGGCTGCTTTAAGGGGAGCGGTTCGCCATCTTAGGTTCCTCCGCCCCCTCCCGCCACGTGACGCAACTGGCCGCCATCTTAGGCTCCCAGCGCCGCCGTCCTGGTCTTCCTTAACCTTATCTTCTGGGTGAGCCCGGGGACGTCTGGGGAGGGTCGGGGTCTCCGGGTGCGGGGCTGCCTCTCCCTCAGCCGTGTGGTGAGGGGAGAGCCTGGGCAGGCCGTGACGCGAGGGCAGGCACTGAGGGCGGTGTGGGCCCGGGCTGGGCTGCTGTCCGGTCCTCGCTCACGTAGGGCAGCAGCTGGGAGACCCCCCGCGCCACCTCGCCGGTTCAGCTTGTATTTAAGGGTTTTCTGTTTAACAGGCGTCGTGGGCACCTTCGCGGGGACCTGTGTCCTAGCGGTAGGCACAGTCCTTTCCTTCCCAGCCCACCCCCGCAAAATTCAGAGGTGGATGAAGCTGAATCTGTTGCCTCAGTAGCCTGGTAATAAAGGTTTAATGAGCATTAGAGATCTTGAGGTGGAGACGCTTGTGTAATTGAATACAGCTTGAGTGGTATTATTTAAGTCTTCAGGTCTCTACCAGTTTAATTTTTGTATAGCTGTTACGGCCCACTAGTTTTTGGCCTTCTACTCACTAAGGATCCCTGTCCCAAATACTTAGCAGGAATTATAGAGCACTGTTTTCTTCCTTGTATTTGTGTTGCAAAATTAGGTTCTATATATAACTTAATAGTCCAAAGGCAAGTCTCATGTTTCACTTCTTCCAGTAACCACAGTTGCATTGTAGTATTTATGCATCACTTAAAACCTCCCACAGCTACAGTCGTGCTGACAGTAAGAAAAAAGCTTGCCTGGGTTGGTGGAACGGTAGGTTGCTCTAAGTGACCTCTCTCAGGATGGGCATAGAGGCTGTAGCTTGGCATTATATTCACTGTAATAATTGTCCTGTCAGAGCCACATAACTCTAAATAAATGAAAACAGATTAAGGAATATTCTGTAGACTTTTAAGAATTCCTTTTCTGCATTTAGTTACCCCATTTCTCATCCTCTTATCCCAGCTCTGGGAACAGAAGATCTGTTGTCCCAGCTGTTCAGAGATTTCAGTTTTGAAAAAGTAATAGTGGGTAACAAGATATTAGAACATAAAAATGTAGCTATATATAGCTATATCATGTAATATCAAAAGCCATATGAAATCTAACAGGTGTTTCAGGATAAATGTTCTTGTCTAAATTTTTACAAAGGAATGCCTCTCATGGGTGCCTAAAAACGAATCACAGTCAGGGAAAAAGCATATCTGTGCAGTCACACCACCATTTGTGTATATAGCTGTTCAGAGAGGTGAGCAGTAAGTGTGAGGCATATTTGACTTTTAAGAGGTGCGTATCGGGAATCTGTAATTTTGGGATGTATAGGCTCCATTCTTAACTTTGAGGCATGAGGTACATCAACCTTTTAGTACAGCCATTTGTTTGGAATCTGCTTTGTTGGGTGTGGCTTTTTGTTACATATGTAGTTGCAAATGGCATTTAAAAAGCTATTTGAGGGCTGCTACGTCATACTTAAAGTTTCTGACTAGACATGTGGTTGTGAGTTGCATTCTTGATGTCTTGAAGGAGATTTTTCTTCGGTTGCTGATAAAAAAATAAGGCTCTGTTTTGAATAAATGAACACCAATTCTGCATGCAGTTTCTCCCCCACCCCAAAAGCTTAGTGATAGCTTTCATATTTCGTATATTTGAGAGATATTGTTTCTTATTTGCTGCATTTAGTAATTTAATTGCAAGTTGAAATTTATAATTACTTAGCTTAAACAGCGGTGGGTACAAAGTTATTTTGTGTAATGCTGAATCTAGTGCTTTGCAATTTTTAATGACTTTTTTTTTTTTTGAGACAAATTTGACTTAATTTTAAATGGACAGGTTGTATTTAGATAGTCTCCAGCTTAAGAAGTCAACCTATGCTGATGACTTTTTGGCAGATAGGTAACTGGGTTGATTGTTCTGGAACAACCTTACCACCTATCAGCCAAATGCAGAATGAGGCAGGCTTTCTAGAAGTGAGAATTATAAAAATTAATGTTTTTCCTGTTTATCAAGCTACAGCTTAAAAATAGGAAATCTACATACTTTCATCAAGAGTAGTACATCTTCATTTTTAAATGGCAAAAGTGAAAGATAATTCTAACTCTTGATCTAGTACATTTGATTTGTTGACTGAGCTGACTACGTATGTTAATGTTTGATGCCCGTCTAGTTGACAATGTTTTTGCGCTGTTACAGAAATCTTTCACTTATCATTCATGTGTAGTTCCAATTTTGATAATTAGATCATCCGCATTTCTGGTTAGACTTGACAATAGATAACTGCTTATAATTGGTCAAGTAACTATCAGACCTCCTTTAGTTGCTTTTATAAATTTAATGTGTCTCCATAGGGTGTCATATATAAATCTTGCGTATTACGATCATAATCATCTTCATGGTCATCTGTGGTAACGGCAAGTTGCATCTGCATAGTTTGCTATTGCAAGTTATGCAAGAGTAGCTGATCAAAGGGAGTTAAAACTTCCCCGCTGACCAGGGGTCTCATATTTGTGGGAGGATGTGAATCTTCAGAGTGCTTTGGTAGCTGTCTTATGAATGTGACCTGTTCAGCAAATTATTTCTTCTGCTGATGAAGAAAAAACAAAAGTTTTTGTTAAACTCTGTCTAGAGTCTAGAATGTAACTTCCTTTTTCCATCAAGCCTTCTGAAAAAGACAGATCAGGCTTGCTGACAGGTCATAGCCGTACCCAGTCATTCATCATCTGTGACTGCTGACTTTAGTAACCCAAACTCCACTCAATTTGCCAGCAATTCTAAAAGTTCAACTCCTTTTGGAAAGTCTTGTGCTACTTACTAAATTTTCTAGCTGACTCTATTAAAAAGTCATCTTGTTTCTGTATAGTCTTGTGAAAATGTTTTTCACATCCTGATAAATTCTTTTATTAACTGTACATTCCTACATGTTGATAATTACTACAGGGGTTTTTGGTTTGTTTGGGTTTGTTTGTTTTGTTTTTTTTTTTTAAATGGACTGTGAAAACTATCTTTCTCTCACAGCAGGACAGGTGCTAGTTTATTATATAAAAAGCTGGGTGGGCTTTACACACCTTCCCAGTTTTTGGTGTGGTACTTTGGCAGTTTAGCCGAGTTGTATTTGCAGCGCTGTTGAGCATTGAGTACGCTTACTGCAGACACACGCACTTAAAACCGAAGTATTGCAGGAAAACAGCATCATGAGTAGCAGCCATCAAGACTAGCATGATACAGGTCTTGCATGAAACACTTGAATTTTGGCTAACTTGGCAAAGAGTGCTTAAGCTCAAAGGTACCTTACAAAGAAATGCATTGATAAGAAGCATCTGTTAAAGCTTGCCCTTCTTAGAAAGATCAGAGGAATACAGATCAGATTTATATGTTTCTTAGTGTTTTGGTGTTATGAGTTAATTTTGGAGTAGGTATGATGAATGGCAGAGGAAAAGCAGTCCTTCAGTTGACCTTTATCTTGTCTTAAGATTGCACAAGATCTATTTGGTCAACTAATTGACTTCATTTTCATTTAGATGATGCTAAGTCCTTTTCTTTAAGGAAAGGTATTACATAGGAAGTAATTGTGAGGTAAAAGACAATCTTAGAAATAAAATAATAAAACTTCTATTACATAGATTCTCAGAAATATTTTTGGTGGAGTCCCAACATTGATCTGTCTGAGTATTTAGGACATGGCGTGGGTTTTTTTTCAGTGGGGAAAGATTAGAATGACTGGTATGACAGGAAAACATTAAAGTGTAGTCTTAAAAAACCAGTTAAAATAGTATTTGATAATCAGAAATATTTTTTTATGTCTTAATGATGAAATGTTGGATATGACATTACAAATAAAAGATTATCATAAAGTATTTGAGAAGAGTATGTTTTTCAAAAACCCCCTTCTGTTAAAGTACAGGTGTGCATTGATTTGAAAGAGGAAGAAATAAATTTACCTGGAACTAATATCTGAAGAATACTGTCAAATGTGTTTTACTTTGTGAACTCTTAATTTGAGGCTTGATCGGGTGACTTGCGTAATTCAGTTGAAAGCAGTTTGAAGAAATGAGATGAAGACATAAATGCTAGGAAAATATTTTCAGGCTTATGTTTAGGATAGATGGATAAAATATTCAGAGATGCTTGCAGTCTTGCTTCAGAAGAGGGAGTGTGTTTTATATTCCTGAAGAATATATGTGCTTTGATAGCCTGGTCTGCTAAAACAGTACCTAATACCCTGTGCTTGTTTTGAGGATTTTTCTTCACCTCTATGTCCTGCTCCTTGAGAAGAGGAATGAACTCTGCTTCTGTGATACTTTCAACTTGGTAGTTGTGAACTAACTTTTGAAGTTGCTCTTGCAATTATTTAACTGACTTGAAATCATTCATTTTACAGTTCATTTGACTAAGCTATTATAAAACATTCTTTGGTATGATTGTTTAGAGAAATCTGAAGGCTTCAGTTCTGTACAGCAAGAATGCTTTCTACAACTCCGTCCTCACTTTACAACTTAAACATGGTCACCACGGTACAGTAAGCATAGTATTAGAAATTATGTACTATTATCTTAGAGGAATTATCTGTGCTGTCCTTTAAAGGAGCTGTAGCTATCAATGTGTATGGAGTGTGTTTTGGGAAGAAAGAAAATGCAGCAACAGGAAGATTCATTGAAATTTAGCAGTAGAAAGAAAAAGCAAAGCTCAATTCCTCTTACATGTAGGAATGAGCCAAGTAATTTTTCTGTTTCACTGGGAGCTTGAGAATTGTTTCTGATATGGAGTCTAAAAGCTGGGGTAACAAAGAAACTTCTTGAGAGTTTTTTGGTGACCAAAGACTATAATTGACAGATGATCCCAAAGGCTACCTATTAGGGATTACTTGACTGAAGCCTTTTTTGTCTTCAAGGACAGTCAGTTCTGGATGTGAAAGTTGAATGTTTTGTGCTTCTGCTATGGTAGTGAAGTGAGTGTATTTGCAGGATTGTGTAACTGTTCGGAATCCCATGCATTAAAGAAATTATTTAAAAAAAAAAAATCAGGATTTAAAACTCTGGA